ATCACTGTAACATAACAGTGGATCTTGGTGGCATGTGTCTTTAGTAGTATTCGTAAGAATGTAATTTTAAGGCTTTATTTGAAATTGCAGTATACTAAATGTCAAATTCTAATGCAGATATGTCCAACTGTTTTGTCTCCCTGAATACAAAGTTCAGAGCCAGACATGTTATGGCTATACATTTTAAAAATGTAGGTTTCCTTAGGCAGAACAAAAATGATTGTTTCCTTCTACCTTCTTTCGAATTTCATTATTCTTAAATGAGTCGTATTTGAAGGTTTAAACTGCAGGGCAGTGAAAACAGGTTCATTATATTTGCCTGGAGCATCTTAACCATTGTGCTAACCTGCTTACCAGGGCACGTGTTTATGTAAACCCTATGGTGCAATGACATCAGTGTACTAGAGGCACATAATAGTCTTACCATGCTTTTATTTTTCCTTTTTTCATGCTCAGCTGTTGAAAAGTTTTGTGCCTCAGAATGGTTCTGAAGTTTCGGTGTGTGTACCATGAATTTGTCCCACTATTAAGGACTGTTTCCAGGTGTAATGTTTGGGTTTTAAATTTAATTCTTTAATCTGCCACAGCAGGAATTGGGAATGCTATAGAGACATGCTCTGTCCTTAAGAAGAAAGCACATTGCTTTCAAGTGGGTTCTTGGCTTCTTTTGTTGCTAACCCCAAGGAAGGGCTTAAGTGGCCTCCAGAGGAGGAGGCATTTGGCTACACTCTAAAGTTTTTGGAGAAGGAAGGCTGGAGAATCTAAACACTTTCTTCTGTGTCATGTTTTATTACATTTAGCTATGCATTTCTTCACACACCTTGTTTTTTCCAGCAGAAGGATTCAATTATCCCTTTGTGTCCATGTTTTATTTGTAAATCTTAAGACAATTTTCCTATATACCTTGAAGTAGTAAGGCCAGAGTTACTGCTGCAAGGGAAATGGGGGTGGGAGGGAAGAATATTTTCACATGCCCATGCTTTGGGATTTGTGCATGTTAAGAACATACGCATTTCAAAGAGACTGCCAGTGTCTTAAGCACTATATGTAGCTGTATGAAACACAACTAAGTGAAAATAGACGAGCTAAAATCTGTCTTGCTGCAGAACTATAAGGCTTATGTGTATTTTATTTATTAAAAAAAAGAAAAGAAAAGAAAAAAAGAAAACCTTGCATCACCAGTAATGCTGCTTAAGCACTAGGGGTAGCGATACATTGTTTCGCCATTAGGCGGTGTCAAATACAAGACCACTAGAAAAACAGGTCTGCAAAAACGTAGAAGCAGGCATCATCTTCATGTGCAGAGTTTAAAACTTCTTTTGTATTTTTTTTTGAGACCATAAATTACTTCTGTGCAAACCATCTTCAACTTGTTAAACTGACTTAGAAAAGTCGGTTTTGGTGTCTTTAGGAAGATGACAAAATAAGGACTCTTGATCAGTCTGTTTTGACCAGATGCAACTGACTGGTTCAGACACCTCCAAGCTTTGGGAGGGATCTGGAGAAGTCACAGTTCTCTAGAGAACCTTCAGAGAAGCAAGTTGGGTCCTTTAGAGGAGTTGTGGAAGGAGGGCCCCAAACTCCCTCCCTGGCTGGGATCATTTTGAAGTGTGTGTATTCTGATGATGGAATTCGAGGTTGGGTGGTATTCACTGTTTGTTCTATGAGCTTTGGTTTCTTTTGTTGATTGGGATTTGTTTTTGTTTTAATTCCTGTGGAGACAACTCTATCCCTGCATTGTTTTAATATGGGGAAATTTTCAGGTCAGACCGAATTCCCTTGTGGTGTTCTGTAAGTCAGTATGCACAGTGTCCCCCGTTGCTGAGGTTATGGGTTCTGCAGCATTTACTGTGCCAATGAGGAATTTAAAAGTCGTGCTAAATGGTTTGGAAGACTTTTTCCTAGAACTTAAGTTATTAGCACTTGCTCCTCATAAACAGTATGCATATGGTGTCCTATCCTCCGGTCCAGCTGTCATCTCTCTTCCTGATTGCTTTTTTTATTGTTGTTTGTTTTTAAGGGGTGGAGCAGGAGGAAGGGGGAGGTGGTTTTCTTAGCATTCATTCAACAGAGCAGTGTAAAAGTCCTGGCTTCTTAAGGCCGTAAACGTAGAACAACATCAGCTTTTAAGGAGTCTGCAACTGTGGACTTGGATAAATTTATTAATCATGAACTTCATTCAGTTGGCTGATTTCTGTCAGTGTTGATTTTACAAAATCTTTGTAGCATGGAATAATTGATGAAGAATAATTCTTAGCTGCGTAAGTAGTATTCAAATTTAAAAAAAACACCACAATATTTCAGTTGAAAAATGTTGTGAAGCTATGCATCTTGGACCTGGGAGCTGTGACTTACGCTTAAATGCTTTTGCTTTCCATGTCATTGACCATTATAGCTTGACTGTTCCATAAGAAGCGAAAGAAAATACTTGTGTCTTTCCCTTTTAAATACTTTTGCTTAATTCTTTCTCTAAACTGATAATTTCTCTTGGCGTATTTGGTTCCTGAAGCTAGACTTTCAACCTGATTCTGATTAATTAGACTTATCTAGAAAGTAAGGAGGAAACAGCTTTTTAGGGTAGGCTTGACTTCGGAGAGCATTTTAGGGAACTCAGTTGCCAAGTGTCTCCACTTGATTGAGTGACTCATGGGTCATGAGCCTATTAAACTTGAATATTTTGCAAATGGGAGCTGGTGTCCTCAAGGTATGCGTTCAGAGTTGGTAAATGTTCTTGAGGTTGCATGCTTGAGCTCTGACCTATTTGCTTCTGACGCTTAGTCAAGAATAACAAATCAGCTTTTCTAAGAATCCTTTTTGCTGTTGCAAGTTCAGCCACAAAATAAGCTTTTGCATCTTCTGCAGTTATTGGGATTTATGCCTTCCTGCCCAAGAGCTGAGTTTAGCCACCTATAATTTTTCTCATCTTGAGCAGTTTAGTTTTTCTGGTTTTCAGAAATGCAGCAAACTATGTCTGCACTAGTGTATTCAGTTTCTGCTTTGAAGTAAAATGAAATTCAGTTTCTAGTGAAAAGAATCTCTTCTAATGTTCACCTTGGAAGTCTAAATTCAGGTGAACAGACTGATTTAGTGAGCTCCACTAGATACTTATTAGACATTTTCTTTCTGCTGTATATTTTGGCCTTACATTGAGGAGTTTGATTTATTATTAAATTATTTGTGTATGCAGACTTTAATCTGTACGTATTTTCCTTTGATGTATTAGGATTTGTAAATATTACTGATTTTTAAATATTATTTATGCACATACCTAAAGGACTGGTCTATCCAGAAAAGCAATTGCTAAATAATAAATGTTACTTTTTAGAAATAAATTGCAAGATCATTAAATTGTATATCCCTCAGGGTTATTTTTAAAGGTTTTTTCCTCTTCCCTTCAGATTCGATTAGCAGAAACTGTAGTTTCATGTACTATAGAACAAAATCTACTGTAAAAACGACAAAAACATGCTGCGAGTAATGTTTGAGTAGAAGCAGCTAAAACACCCACAGCACTGACTGTCCATATTCATTGTCAGTTCAATTGGAAACTCTTACTGTTGCACTTTTTGAGAGTCGTTGGATTTTTAATTCTATTTATTTTTGTCTTCATGAAGGTTGTGCTGAACAGTCATCACAAATTGGGTAAATAATCCTGTACTGTATATGTATATACAGTATAATATTAAGCAGATGTGGAGTCCTTTTTATGCTGCAATTTTTTAATGCTTATGTTGGGCATCGCAAAATGAGAGAGCTAAAGTTCTGTAGGATTTCTCCCATGGAATTCTGACTTGTAAACTTAGGGGTTTGTATGTGTAAGGGAAAGCTGTGGGGTTTTGACAGTTTTTAGAGTCCTGAATATGTTGATTTTATACAGTAAAGCTTCAGGTTTTTAAAACTATTTTCAACAAATTGCAACTTGTTTGATAATTATGTGAACCAGAAACTACTCAGTTTGTCATGAATTCCTCAAGCCTAACACAGATTAAAAGGTTCATCATTACAGCACTCTCTAGAAGCTCAGCTTCCTTTTTATTTTTAGATCTGAAATGATACTACATCTTTGTATTTAAAATATGTATTGCTGCTCTAGAATGGTACCCTGTTGTCAAGAGGCATACATAATTAACTGTACAATAGAATTGTAAATAGACTTGTAAATCATTTTTGTGACTGAAGCTCTTTGAAAATAAAATTAAAATGAACAGATATTTTAACTCTTCTCATTAGTTTCATGAAATGGTTTTTAATTATTCTTCATACAATTAGATCAAAAGCTTGCTGAAGAATACAGACTTATTCCCTGATGTCATGAGTATCTTGTTCAGTGCCTGTATAATTTTGAAGACTGGGTGGAGAAGTATGCATGCTGTTTGTTAGCAGTGGTACAGTAGCACTGCAGTTCTGCAGTAGGATAATACTGACCGTAGTTTTACCTGCTGGCTCATGAGAGCCATTTCAAAGCCAGACCTTGTACATGTGATAGCAGCTTGTTTCCGCTTCCTGTTATCCACATGTTCCTTCTGCTCTTTGACATATGGCAGGCGTTATCTTGAAAAGACTAGGGCAAACGTTCCTGGTTGTGAGCTGTCACTTTGCCGCAGTCGCCTCAGAGAATCACACAGAAGTGAAGACACCTTTTCCATCCTGTGGCTCACCCACCATTTAAATGCTCATTGGCAGAGCACGTGATTTTAAATTTGAAGATAAGATACTTATAATACCTGGTTACTTAACTAGAAAAACTAAATCTTTCCATTTCAAGCTAATATTTTGGTAACTTAAAGCTTTTTTCTCTTCAGAATCTTTCTGGATTTAGGCTTTGTTGGCCAGAAGACTTGGAGGAAAAACAGAAGCCAAATAGGCCAACCCTGGATTGCTTAGCCAAAGCATTAAATAAAAAACTCCATTCTTTACTCAAATTGCTTTGACTCCAGTCCTGCAAGAAAGTAAGTCAGAGCAGCCTGTTTAAAGTGAACAGCTTGGCTGTTTAAAGTGAGTGCGTCCACTCCTTCAGAACATAATGTGTGGCAGACCACAGTGAATCTGTGTAACAAATTTGTAATTTCTGATGATAATTCATATTGAAATGTATACTTCTGACTTCACCCAGATTTGCACTGGGTTGGCTTAAGCACATGCCTCCAGTATTGCTGTCAACGAAGCTGCAAGTGTTTTCTGTGCTGTTGCATGTGTGACCTCAAACTTTCTCCTGTTCTGTCAGTGGTCTCAAAACCTAATTTTGGAGTTGCATACAACCTGTGGAAGCTGGCTGCTTACACAACTAAATATAGGCAAAATCTGCTCTGAAGCTTAAAATACCCTGTGGCCTTTCACAGTAGTTATGCAAATAGGGGTGAAAGTGTTATCTGGAGGATGCGTTTTGCTGTTTTACTTCCCATTGAAAGTGCAGAATCATGGTGAAGCCCGATTGCCTGCTATGCTCCTAGTAAGTTCATCTGAAAGGCAGATAAGTTTATAAGGTACAATTTAAAATTCCTTTTTCATGCTCAGATGAGTTTAGAAACTTGCAAGAAATTAAAAAAAAGTACCATGGTAAATTATATGTGTGCTCAGTATTCTATGAAATGAAGTTCAAAACTGATCTGTCACTTTTGATATAGCAACACTATTGATGCATTGCTTCTGGCATCCTTTTTTAGTCTTGAGAAATATTAAGGGGGTGGTAGAAAGGGGAAGAGGCTTTACATTAGGACATGGTAAATGACCAGCCAGGCTGGTGTCCTTTCTGGAATGTCAGGTGTCTCACAGAAGGGTTTGAGGAGATGATGCATAGGAATGTATAATTATTATATGGATCTTACTGTGACTTCTGTTATAGAAGTTTATATATTTCTTTTAAAAATACCATTAGCAGCTGTAGACGATTGAGATCCATAGGATTATCCAGTTCCTGTGCCAGTCGTGTGCTTGTGGTCTTAGTCTCTTGCAAGAATTTGTACCATTTTTGTTGTCTGTGAAAATGTCTTCAAGCACTTCTGAGTGTCTAACGTCTCGTTGCATACACTCTTTTGTTATAAGACCAGGGAAATGGACATCCCCAGTCTAGTCTAGGGTAAGTCTCTTATTTTACAGACTGTGGTCTGCACTCATGCCCTCTGAGGGACCTGCATTTACAGTCTTTAACATAACAATTTAGTTTGGGCTTTTTTACCCCTCTTGTTCTCTAGATCTTCTTTTCTCCATCTCACTGAATCTTGGAGTTCTGCAGTGGTCTTGGGTTGAGTTGGGGAAGGCTGAGATGCCAGTTAGGGTTTGAAAGGGAAAATTCATGGTGTGTTTCTGCTGCATGTGGAGGGTTGTGCCCATGCACCACCAGGAAGCAGTTCACCAGCTGCCTGCTCATCGTGCTGTGGGCTGAGGTGCCCATGTGGACAGGGATGTGCTCATCAGCATGCCAAGGTTGGGATAAGGGGGTTCAGGGACAGGATGGTTCTTGAGTTTTGAGGTGAAGGTTTATGAGAGATGGTTGGTTTTGGGGTGGGAGGTACTACTAGGAAGACAGGGTACTCTGTTTGACATGGAAAAGTCCTTTGGAAGGGTGAAATCTTACAGCCTGCTTTTGGTGACACAGTCTCATTCAGAAAGTTCCAGAAAGCCCAGTATGAGCTTGCTTTGCAGCACCATGTCACTGGTAGTTACCACTAGATGCCATGTCCTTAACTTCCCAAGGAAGGGATGCAGATTTTACCAATCTGCAGTACTCTGAACCTAACCAAGAATCTTTATTATGTTTAAGCTACTCCCTTTTGCTTTTCTTTTTTTTTTCCTTTTTAATGCAGCAGCTGGTTTTGATCTCTGGTTCTTGTCAGCAGTTCAGGCATGTAAGAAACTCTGCTATCTCAGTGGTAGAGTTTGTACCTGTGTCTGTTGATGTTGATGCTGTTGGGGGAGAGCTTCACCCTTTCCCCTGGAAAAAGGGTATGTTGGGATGGAGCCTCCTCTTCCCCAGTATTCTTAATGCTGAAGACTGACATGGCATCGGCTGTGCCAGCTGTGTCTGTAGAACTTGTGCAGCTATTCCTGCAGTCCCAGCTGTTGCTTCTCCTACTCATCAGCCAGGTGCTTGATTTCCAGGTTTTTGGTACACTTAGACTTGTTGATTTCACTAAGGAAGTATTTCTAAACTGTGGATTTCTGTTTGACATGCTCTGTTAAATATTAGCATTATAGCCAGGATTGCTTTCCTGTTCCTTTTTTTGTTTGGAAATCTATACAACTTCCCCACTTCATGGTGTTTCGTGCTCATCTACCTTTATTGCTACAGCTTTCCAACTTAACTTCATGGCACTTCTTTCCTCTCATTTCATTATATTTTTGATACCACTGATAACTTAGCATTGTGTTAAGCTGTTGAAATGAGACTCGTTGATTATTAGAGGCTCACTCCTGTCCTGTGCTCTGTTGAGTTCTTGTGTGTCATTTCAGACTATGTCAAAAATAGCCTGTTGCTTTTTGTGTGGTGTTGAGCTGTTCCAAGAAGCGAATATTTGCAAGTACTGGGAAATGATTTAACAGAACTTTGTGCTGGTTTGCTTTTAATATAGGCCGCTTAAAATATAGGACACCCTTTTACCTCCATTATCTATTTTTGCAGGCTAAACTTTATTTTTAAACCTCAGGTAACCTACAATAAAAAACAGTGGGTACAGGACCTTTTGGTAACTTTCTTTTTAAATACTTTCTGTGTGTAACTTAGAGTTGCTTTTCTGTTCAAATAAACACATGCCTTACGACTACTTAGGGATTCATCACGATTTTCGGATGAGTTTTTATACTTGACTAGTACAGATATAAACAAGGAACACTTGATTTACAAAAGAGTTTTATCTGTACTTCTCAGTGTAAGCTGACCACCTTTGAAATATTTACAGTCAACAGTAATAGAGATTTTGAAGTTTCCTTTCAAGCCAAGAGACATTTTGCACACATTTGCAGGTTTTATGATATATTCGTACAAGTGCTGCTAAGTTACTATCTATGATCAAATCCTGACTCTCTCTTGTCTCTTGTAACAGCTAATGTTTCTGGCACTTCAACAAAGATGTTGGTGTTCTGCTTGTCAGTGATGATCAAGCTTTTCTTCCAGTTGGATGCATCTATTTGTCCTCAGAAGTGCAACTGCTCTTCAAAAAACGCAGTTCATTGCTCTGGTCCGCACATCAAAGACCTGGAATCCTTAAATCTGCCTTGCAATATGACAGAAATTCACATAACGGGCACTAATGTAACATACTTGCAGGGTGTTTTTTCTAGGATGATGGAACTGCAGCATCTCATCTTGTCTTCAAACAACATCTCTCTGATTTCACCAGTGGCTTTTAAAGGCCTGAGAAGGCTAAAAGCCCTCAAACTGCTAGAGAATAAGCTGGTCGAACTTCCCGCAGAAGTGTTTGATGACATGGTACAGCTTCAGCAATTGATCATTGAAAATAACAGGTTGAAATCCATCGAAGAAAACCTGTTTGACAAACTAGCTAGTTTGGAGGAGCTTTACTTGAACAAAAACCAACTAACAGCACTTCCCAGTGGTGTGCTGAAGAAACTTGCCAAACTCAGAGTACTGAACTTGTCAAGAAATTATTTGGCAGCACTGCCTAGAAATATATTTAGTGCACTAACCAGGCTCGAGAAGCTGATGCTGTACTTTAACAGGCTGTCTTCAATAGAGTCTGGTATGTTTGATAGCCTGAAGGAGCTGATGGAGCTCTTCCTGCATTCCAATAACATCCAATCCATTGCCCCTGATGCATTTTGTTGTCTTCATAAACTGAAAAGCCTAACACTTTCCAGGAACAAGCTTGAGGTTTTGCCCTCTGGGCTCTTTCTGCATTTGCATGACCTGTCTAAATTGACCTTGTACAGGAACCCACTGAAGTCTCTTCCGGAAGTATTGTTCGGAGAAATGAGGCATCTTGGTGGCCTGTGGCTGTATCACACAAAGCTCTCAACAATACCAGATTTTGTGTTCAGTAACTTGACAAATTTAGAGCTTCTTGTGCTGAGTTTTAATCCAGAGCTTAGTTTTCTTCCTAAGAATGTATTCAGTGGTCTGAATGAACTGCGGGGCCTTTCTCTGCATACAAATAATATTTCCAGTTTGCCAGAGGGCATCTTCCTGAGCCTTCAGAAACTGCAGAACATTTCTCTTTTTGATAAGAGGCTTGAGATTCTTCCTAGAAACCTCTTTCATAATCTCAAGCACCTTCAGAAAGTTTACCTGAATAGCACTAAGCTGCAATCTCTTCCTGGAGACTTCTTTACTGCTTTACCTGAGCTGCAAGAAGTCTTCCTTGACGACAACCCTTGGAGATGCGATTGCCAAATTCTTGGTTTCAGAGAGTGGCTCCTCAAGAGCATGGAGATAGTAAAAAATGTGCCATCTCTAATGTGTCAGAGCCCGCTGGCACTACTGAATATTTCTCTTGTGGCTCTAACAGCTGAGCACCTGAACTGCCCACCAACCACAGCTATTACATACCAGACGTCCAGCTCAGCTTATTCCCGGACTTTGACTTCTCTTGTGATAGAGCACTTAACATCTTGGAAGACTGCAGTGCCCGACATGGATACCAGACCACCCACATCAATTCCTCTTGCAACCCCAGGTTTCACCTACTCACGTCTTGAAGATGTTGGACAGCATAGGTTTCATTTGTCAGAAGTTCCAATCCAAACTTCACCCAGTGCCATTGTACAAACCAACAGTGTCAGAGGAACAGATTTAACTACTCTTGCCCGGTTGGATGAGATACCAGCCCGCAGAAGTGCTAAACCCTATTTTAATACCAGAGTTGCATATTGTCAGTTGTTCTTGTGCCTTTACAGTTTGATTTTAACCCTCCAGACTGTAACCATTGTGCTCAGTCTGTATGTGATGGGTAAAACCAGGCAACTCTTGCACTCCAGAAATACTCCTATTCAGCCTGTAGTTCTGATAAAATTTTTGAGAAGATGATAGAGAATACCAGCTGAAGAGAGGATTAGAAGCATCGTTTGGATGCATTTTGAGCATTTGGGCAGTTGACACTTCATTCACTTATGGATTACAAATCTTCATACAAAGAACCAAAAAGACCTTGTTTTTACAGCATAATGAAAACGTGCTTTTATTTAGCTTAGTGTTTGCTAAAAGTGGCTGTAAACACCATATATTGCTACAGCACTTGGTGTGTGAACCCAGAGGGAGAGTGAAAGAAGATCTGTGGTCACCTCTATGTGTGTACTACATGTTACCTGCATTGGACTGGAGCCCTGTCCCTGCCAGGCCCCGTTGCATGCTGTCATGCTCATGCTGCTCACATGGACATGGCATCAATGTAGGGAAATCCACATAAGAACACGGCTTTAACCATGCTTTAAAGGTTATCTGTAATACTCCAAAATGTTCCTTATACTACCTGCAATGTTTTGCCTATTGGGAAAGCAAAGGGGATTTTGGGGAAGAAATGCTGGAAAAGACCTTTTAAAAATACAGCTGGGGGCTGAATGGTATAGTGCAAGTGTCTTAGTTTTTGCTTTATGTCCTCAGACCCTTTCCGGGACACGGCAGAAGTAAGGGGTACCATTTAAAGCTAATAGCGCTTTCCGCTAGCTTAACTAGAGGAAGGTAAGTAAGGTGCTGGGCTAGGAAACAGAAACTTGATCTATTTTGTTTGTTTATAAACTTTGTAAAGTGACTTAGCTTGTACTTAAAAACTCTGATGTTGTACTTAAAAGCCTCTGGAAGTGGATCTGTGGCTCTTTGGGCAGGAGACACTATACTCCAGGAGTCCTTTTGTAGCCTTACAGACTTTCTGATTATTGAGGTCTTTCCTGGATGGCCTTGAAATGGCACATTACAAGCCTGGGGTAAAGGGAACCTGCATATGCTGCAGGTCTGTGGCTTGTTCCCTGTTGTGTGCTACTCTAGGCTGTGCATTGTTCTACAGACTGCTTTGTTTCAGGGTGCGCTGCTACTGGACTTGAATTCCTCTTCTAAGCTGTGAAAGGAGACAGTATGCTTCTGTGGTGTTAAGTAACTGTTGTCTTGCTGGTGTGAGGTTTAATAAAATTTAGCAAACCTGGCTAAATGGAAGCTATCTCTAAAGAAAGAGAAATACAAGTCACTACAGCTGGAGCAAAGCAAACTGGGACTGGATTCATAAACACAACCTCCAGAATATTTACTGCAATATATTTAAGAGAGAAGCACAAACCCAACATGCAGCTTTCACGGGGATTGCATGCAAGTGCCCAAAAGGAGGCAGTTGTTACAAATTTAGGCTCTTGGTTGGACAACCGTAATGACCACTTAGTGTTGTGCCTGCTCCAGTGCTGTCGTGCTGGTGCCACGCAAGCATCTGCTCACAGCAGGCAGGAGATAAGTATAATCTGAGCTACTGAGGAAGTTGTTATGCAAACCTTGCTGGTCACTGTTTGCCTCGGTGAGACGCTTAAGAAGTGTGCTCATGGCTATGGGCCCTTGGATGCACGCTGTCTGGTTTCTAAGAAAGGCATCATTTTGGTTGTCATAGGGGTGTATGACCCCCTGATGTCCAGCCCCTGGAAGAGCAGTGGGATAGCAGCAGCTGCCATCCTGAACTCTCCTTTGGCCGCTCTAGCTCTGCAGTGAGGCCAGCTGGGTCTCTGCCCTTCTCCTTTGACTCCTGTTGCGCAGTCGCTGAGCTCTGGCACGTGGTGGCTCTGGCACACGGCTGCGTGCAGTTGAGTGCTCAGAGGAGGATGATTCGTCTCTACGTGCTGTCATCGGGCTTTCCCCGCACTTGAGCCAGACGAGGAAGTGAAGTCAGCAGACAACAAAAGGCTGGAGCAATAAGGGGTCTCTTACTAACTCTTCCTCTGAGGTGTCATGTTCTGAGCTGCCTCTGATTCACTGCTGCTTGTCCAGCAGAGCTCAGCCCTTCCTGCAAAACTCCTTGGCCTGGGAAATCCAAGGATGTGCTTGTTTATATCCCATCACCTGATCCGGAGAAAGGATGTCTTCCAGGTCAGCGTGACAGTGCCTGTGGTGGGCAGGGAGGCACCAGGGAGGCACCTTGGGAAAAGTGCAGCCCCTCTCTGAGCAGTGTTGCCTTGCAGCTGTCTCAAGGTTCCCATGGCTTGCCATCACCAGTGTATGGGCAAGGTTTTTGCCAGTCCCCGCAGCCCATACCTCCAAGATCTACTGCCCAACCTTCACCACCAGGCTGGACTTGGAGGGACAGTGGGCTGGAAAAGATTGCAGCTTTGTAATCCCTGGTCTGGGGCATCCCTGCTGTTGGAGAAAGGGTGGATGCTAAGCACATCTGCACTCAGTGGCTGAGGGGATTGGCTGCACACCCTTGGCTTCTGCATGGGATGAAGAGTCATGATTAACATGAGTCCAGGAGCTGCCTCTGGGGCCACATCCTAGTCGGTAGCGCTTAGGGTACGTCACTAATGCAGCCTAGCCAAGGGTCTTCATAACTTGCTCAGCTGCCTCAAACACTCGTTTCTGTGGCAGTTGTTCCTGCTTTAGGAAATCCTTGAGCAGTGGGAGCTCTAATCCTCCATGTCAGACCATGGGACTATGCTCCATGTTTCCAGCTTGATGTCACTGCAGGTGCCATTCTCCTTTGCTTGTTGGGACTTGAATGTACAGAGTCCCTGAAGAGCAGCATGGCAAGGAGGGAATTAACCACCGCTGTAAGTGCCCGCAACTTTCTGCCTGTTTCCCAGCTGCTGCAGGACCCTTCAAGGCCATCAGCACCTGTGTCCTGGGCTCATGCCCCTGCTGTGTCTCTGCCTGACCTTATGGAGATTGGGCCATGTCTCATCCAAGCTTCCAACCAGCACGTCTCGCCTGGGGATGCTGATGCAGCAGCCACAGTATCACAGCACGGCATTTCCAACGGATGACAGAATAGCTGGGAAGAGATGAAGCCAATGGCATGTACCCATGGGACAAGACTGGGCTTGTGAGTGTTTATAGGCTCTCACAGTGATCAGGAGGCCTGAAGCTCCTGCTTTGCCCCTGCTCCAGACAGAGATTGGAGGCATGGAGGTGTTCTGCCCCATTTTGTTAGCCAAAGTCTGGGTTCACATCCCCTTTCCTCCTGGGTGTCTATGGGTGGCTAAGCCTTGGCAACGGCTCTTGCTTGGTCCATGGTGAATGAGTCCCACTTCATTGCAGGGTATGGGGCTGCTGCTCCAGCAGCACCCCAAGACATGCAGCCACCAGGCCCAGCCCCTCTTGTGCAATCCCTGCTTCAGGACTGTTGTGTTTCTCTGGGAGTTGCCAGCTGTGATTTAGTGTCCCTCTAGATGAAAACAGCCCAGGGCAGGGAGCCAGCGATGGCTGGCAGTGGCTCCCTGTGCTGCTGTGCATTCCTCTGCCTGATTTTCCTGGGCACTTGGGAGCCATGGGGCCCCTTCCCCCTTGGGGTGTTAGGAGGGGGTCCCTGGAGCCCACCTGGCTGTCGGGGGTGGCTTTACAGAGGTGGAGAACTGTGTGAAGCTGATCCAGCAAACACACAGCACTGCATGAGCAGAGACAGCCCCCCACCATTGCCTCCTGCTCCAGCTGGTCCTTCCTCCCCCTCACAGCGCCCATCTGACAAGCTCTTTCCGCTTCGGATCATCTCTCCAGGCGGACTTGGCCACGGGCCCTGCATTCCTTCCAACCTAGCGCTGCCCTGAGCCTGCGCCAAGCCCGGCGTGCTCCTGCTATCGCTCGGGCCAGGGCCGAGCCTGGAGGACACGGTTCTGCTGGCCAGGCAAGCTCCGCTGCTGCTTGAGATCCTAAATGTCATTTTCCTCGAGCTCCAGGAGAGTTGTGGTGGGTCTTGGGCTGGTGCTTGGATATAGGCTATCCGTCCTGCCCATCCTGAAGGGTCCAGGATTGCTCCGCCTTCAAAAAAGCTCTTACCTTGCCCAGGGAAGGCAGGACATGTCCCCATCCCTTGAGGCAGATGGAGATGGGGCATCGTGTAGCTGTGAGCAGTGAGGGCCCCCTGGCTCTGCGTTCCTCAAACAGGGCGCTGAAAATGCTGTAAAGGCTTGGCCCTGCCCCTGTGGAGGAGCCCTCAGGTTTGGGCTCCTCAAAGGGTTAGGATGGACGTGTGGTGGGGAAGGGGCTGCTGCTGCTGCCTCTTGATGGGTGCTGTGGGCCCCAGCTGGCCCCTGAGGGTCTGAGTAATGCTCCTGCCTTCCCCCCTCAGCTGTGCATGAGCCTGTGTCCTGCTGCACCGCCCGGCCAGGAGGTGCTTCCCACACCAGAGCACTGCAGGGACCCCCTCCCTGGACCCCGGCCCAGCCGACACCCTGCTCCTCCCTTCAGCAGAGCAGGGCCTGGCCGGGTGCCCTGGGCCAGCCACTCGCTGTGAGCACCAGGGGCCACCAAGGGGGTTCCTCATGGGGTGGCAGGCGCTCTTGAAGCAGCGCAAAGCAATGGGGGGTCCAGCGCTGGGGGGCCTCGGGACCCCCAGTCCTTCCCAGGGGTGCTGGTTCTGCCGGGAGCTGGCTCGGGGAGCAGCAGCGGCCTGGGTGAGCGTGCTCAGCTGTCTGGCAGATGAGCGCTGCGGGCTCCCGGCCCGGCCCGGCCCAGCCCACAGGCTGCTAATTTTAGCGATTACATGAGTTTTTCCAAGCAGCCGCGAGTCTCCGGTGATTCAGAGCCGCCCGGCTTTGCTGCAGGGATGCGCTGCAGCTGCGCCAGCACGGATGGACCCCGGGCTGTCCTGCCCTGTGGGAGTGAGGCAGACCTCCACAATATGGGATGGTGCTGTTGGGGGCTCCTGAAACCTTCCCGTGGTGGCGTTTGGGAGATGAGCTCGGCATGGGGGAGCCTGTGCAATGGTCATAGGACAGACAGAGCCCTGGAGGGGCTGAGAACCCAGGCCTGTTAGTACAAGTGACTTGGAGAGCGTAGCCAGGCGTTGCCAGCTCCTGGCCCTGACAGCCTCCAGGAGCCCCAGGCAGGATTATGTCAAAGCACAAGGGGTAACTCTGGCTGGGACTGCTTTGCCACAGGATCTCCAGAGCTCCCGTGGGCTCAGCTGCACACGGAGAAATACCTGCGGGAAGTTCTGGGGGCTCTCCTGCTCTTCCATGGACAGAGGAGCAGCGTCAGAACACTGTGTGTGTGCAGGGCTGGGGACTCGGGGGAAGGAGCCACTCCCCAGCCCAGCCCTGACCGCAGGTTTTGCTGCTGGCCCAATCTCATTGGGGCACAGGGTCTGGTGGATGCCCACGCTTGGGCTCCACCATCCCCTTAGGGGTGCATGAACAGTGACTCCACATTGTCCTGAGCTCTGATTAGGAGAAAACTCCAGGAACGAACTTGCCAACAAAGTTTTGTGAGTCTCAGCTCAGACAGGGGGTCTGAGGGGCTCAGCATTCCCCTGGTTGGTGTGGCTGGAGGTGGGGAGAGTTCCCAGAGCACTGCTGGACCCTGGGCCTCCTGCAACACAAAGCTTGCTTTGCCCCATCCAGCACCGTGCAAACTCCCAGCTATGCGGAGCAGCCTCCCTCTCAGAACACTTATGTCACCCTCAATCACATCCACATGCTGTCTCGGGGAGCTGCCTCTTCCCTCCAGATGTGCAGAGCGTGTCTGTGCGGCTGTCCCAGGCTCTCACACCTCCTGCTTCCCTCCCCTGTGCATAGCCTGGGGCAAGCTCCTGTGTGCTCACCTCTGGGAGCGGCTCCCTCCCCACTGTGGGTGCGGTGCACGGGATTGTGCTGTTACTCAGCCTTGCTTTATTTTTAGGGATGTCTTGAAATCAGACTTCTCCTTCCCAGCCAGGAGCTGGAGCCAGGCTCGCAAAGCCTGGGTAGAGGCAGCTGGGATTTTGGCAGGGCTCCTTTGAAGCTTTGGGCACTCAGTGTGGCCATTAGAACCATGGCCTGATCACCCGCCTTGCTGGGGGGCAGGGTGTTTGAGGGTGCCCACCACCACATCCCCGTCCCTCTCAGGCCATGCTACTTGGAAGCCGCTGAGCCCAACATTCCTTTGTCGGACTGGCCTTGGGGTGGTGTTTTTTCGGAAGTGCTGGGGTTTAATTCCTGTGTTGCCTTGCTGAAAAGCTGTGTGCTTCTGGGATGAGTCAGAGCCGGCAGGATCCCGGCAGCGCTGGCAGTGGGCAGACAGAGGCGGTGATAAGGACGTGATAAGGCCATGAGAGCCTGCTCTTGTGCCAGGGCTGCAGGGAGCAGGCAGCTCCCAAGCCTGCTGCCTGACCTCCAGCTGCACCGCTGTCAAGGAAACGGGAAAGTTATTTTGGGAACCGGATTGCTGGGAAAATCTGCTGTGTCAATAGAGTGTGAGCTAAAACACTTGTGGGTGGTGTTTCCAAAATGCCCCTTCTGTGTGCCCAAATGCCTGGGCTTTGCCCCCGGAGCAGGCAGGGAGCATGGCTGGGGACAGCCCCAGCCTTGGTCCTGACTCCCCATCCAGGAAGGGGTCCATGGCCATCTGGCATGTCCCATGGCAGCTAGGATCCCTATGCAACCTACCACATCAGCAGTGGTTGACTCCAGCGGAGGTCCCACTCGCTACCCTCTTCCCACGATCCCTGTCGCCTTCCTCTGAGCCTGGCTGAAAACCTCTCTCCATCCCTTGTCTGCTGTTCATCCTGGTCTGGTCCCCTTCTTGAGCAGGACGCCTCATCCCCTGCACTGCCCTGTGCCCTCCGAGCCCTTGCAGCATGTCAGGACATGGGGCTGCATGGGGATGGAGGCAGCGTCCTGCCCCCTCTGCAGCAGCCCCGTGTTGTTCCCATCACGAGCAGCTTGTTAGTGCTGGCTGGGACATGAGCAGGGGCTGCTGCAGCCGGCGGAAACATGGGTGGGCTGAGACGGGATTAGACATGGTCAGGGACATTCCAGCTGCCCCGTGGTTAGCACGGGGCTGCCCTGGCTCCGGGAAGCCCGGAGCATTCACGCACACTGGCTCTCCATAGTTGTTTCCGCCCCAATATCCGTTCCTGGCAGCTGCTGGACAGGGGCTGCCCGGGAAAGGTGGGTGACGGGGTAGTGACGTGGGCTAGGTGGTGGGGACCCAAGGCACCCCTGTACATCCACGTGGGCTGGAAGGGACAGGACATGGGTGGCAGCAGGTACCCCTGAACAAGTGGATGGGACAGGCTTGTACCCTGATTTCTGAACACCCCTGAGTGTTGGGATGTGTCACCCATGTGTCAGGGCTGCTGAGGATGAAAAGCAGCACAGGGGCTGTAGCCGTGGCAGCCCCTGGGAGATGACAGCACGTACCACTTTGGGGTTGAAAGGCTGCTTGCCGTTGATGCTGAGGGGGTCTGTTGGTGCCCACAGGCATGACGGTGGCAGTGGGAGGTGATCTGGCTTGCCGGGGCTCTCTGGAGCAGCCTGCCCTCTGGCTGGCACCAGCAGTGCTACTGACCCCTGTTTGGTGACCACTCCCTGGATGGGCTGGGCAAGGTATCTGTGGGACAGAGCCCTGGGGTGGGTGCCTGAGTTCCTGGCCTGTTTGTGGTTGGGATGGTGAACCCCAGGCAGGGTCAGTGTGCTGGGGGGAGCTGCCTGCACTGCTGGCCCTCGGCTGGGGCATGGCCGGAGGTCCTGACACTGGCAGGAGCCATAGCTAGGGAGGCAAGCACTGTGCATGTGCTGAGGTGATGCCATGGGGCAGAGCAGTGTGAATGTGTGCTAGGAAGGGCAGGATTGTGCCATGGGATCTGGCTTTGTCTTGCCTGCCATCATGGACGGGGGCACCCACCCCTGTCCCACCAGGGACCAAGAGGGGCTCCCAGGACAGAGCTGCTATCTGGGCACTGGCTGACATGAGCCCCCCCATGTTCATGAAGCCATCTGCTTGTCTTCAAACAAGAGCACTGGGGTTCAGGAGAGGGAAACCCAAAACTCCATCCTCGAGAGTCTTGGTCTGTTTGCTGAGGAAACAGGAGTTGGAAGCAGCTCTGCTCCAGCGCTTTCCCTAACCCCGCCACTGCCCCTGTGCTGATTCATTGATTTGGACGGGTTATATACTGGGAGGGGAAGCATGAACCACACTTGGCTCTCTTGTCAGCTCAGAGCTGTGCTCACTCGGCACTCACGGCTGCAGGACACTCGGGTAAGTCTCCTCTCCTCTACTGATCCTGTGAGTGGCCCTGGGCCAGGGGGACTCCTGGGACAGGTCCAAGGGGTGGTGGGATCTGCATGTTCAGCATCGTTTGATTTGATGGAGATGTTTGTCTTGCAAGGGCTCTCCAACAAAGTGAGGCGACACTGTGGGAGCTGAATTAGTTATACAGGCAACGTATCTTAAATGATAACCAATAGAGAAAATGAAGGGGGGCAAAGTAAGATTATGGGTGGCTGAAGTTAGGAGCAGTGGGATGCTGAGGGGCTGAGTGGTAAGGGATATTCAGCCCCTTGGTCTGTAAGCTGCTTTTTGTCCCTAGAAGAAAAGAGGAGACAAATTGTTTTCAGCTGTCTTTCCTGAAGGACGCTCCAGTGTGGATGCTCTCTGAGCCGCCTTACCAGGGAGTGACATGAGCTGGGCTTTGATGTGCAGTGTTTGGGGAAGTTTATAAGTGGCTTGCTATAAACAAAGCTGTTCTTGGATGCAGATTGTTTCCATATGGAAACATAAACTGTGCTGGCTTGCGAAGGGTTCCTCCCTCCCTGCCGGAGAGTAAGCGTGTTCCCTGGAAGGAGCCCAGAGCATAGGGCAGGGGCTGTGCCCCATCACCCTGGGGTGCTGTGCCAGCTGGGGCACCACGCCTGGACCCTTGTGCTGCTGGATTTGCCCGTTTGGCTGAGCTGTGCTCGGGGATGGGGGGACACAGGTTTTCTCCATCCCTTGTGCCACTTGAAGCTGTTAGCAGGGACTGCTCCATGCCAGCCTGGCACAAGGCTGCTGCTTTAACCTAGGGAGGGAGAAAGCTCCCAGGCCAGAGGAGGGAGGAGAGGGTGTCCATAGTGGCCATGCTTTTCATAGGGTGATGGAGGGCCTCACTGCAAAGCCCTCACTCTCCATAGGCTTTAGAGTTTTTTTGGGCACTACCTCTGGGACCCACCTGCACACCAGACACCCACTCTCACAGCCAAAATTGGCCAGGGCTGAGACCTTCTGTTGGGGATGAGGTGCAGACAGGGCCACCCGTGTACCCAGCCTGAGCTGGGCAGCAGGCAGAGGGTCCCACTGACCCAGGCTCCTGCAGGACTGGAGCTAAAGCATGCCCTGGCAGGGGGTGCCAGTGCTGCTTTTGGCTCCACAACAGGAGCTTAGAGCCAGGAGGGTGCTTGAGTGTGCTGGGGAGCGCCTTTCTTCTTGGCCCTATGAAGCATTCCTGGGGCCCACCCTGCTGAAGGTGCTGCGGACCAGCTCTGGTGAAGGTCTGGGCTGCTCGGTGGTGCCAGGCCAGTACCTCTGGTAGCCGCTCACCACACTCACTACAAAACAGGAAACCACACTCCTGGCCACTGCAGGAGCTGAGAGAGGGAGACGCCAGCGATGCCACTAATAGCTGTGGTATGGCAGCCAGGCACCACAGCCCCCAGCTCTGTCCTGCCCTGCACTCCTGCCTGGGTGCCTGCCCCCAGCCTTTCTTGCCCACCCTCTTCTGCCTTGCTGCCGTGCTGGGGGCAGGATGGCCACAGCCTTGGTGGCCTTTCCCAGGAAGCAGCACCCATCCCTGGTGGAGGCCCAGGGAGCTGGGGAACTGCTGAGCCCCCGTGCTTTGTTTTTCCTGCAGGCCTAATGGAGCAGGGATTTTGGCAGCGGTGGCTGCTGCTGCTGGTGGGCATCCAGCTGGCCAGTGGCCAGTGCCCAGAGCAATGCCAGTGCGTCCGCACTGCGCAGGTGGAGTGCTCCGGTGCTGGCATCACTACAGTCCCCAGCCCCATTCCTGAGAACGCCATGACCCTACAGATCATCAACACCCTCATCACTGAGCTGGGCGACGCATCCTTTGGCAACGCCTCCCTACTGATCGGGCTGCGCATCGAGAAGAACAACCTGTCGCGCATCAGCCCCAGGGCCTTCCAGCACCTGCCTGACCTGCGCTACCTCAGCCTGTCCAGCAACAAGCTGCAGGAGCTCCCCGTGCAGGTCTTTGAGCCCCTGGGCAAGCTGGAATCTCTACTCCTCTCCAGCAACCAGATCCTCCAGGTCGAGCCTTCCCACTTCTCCCACCTGAGCAACCTGAAGGAGCTGCAGCTGCACGGGAACAACCTGCGGGAGCTGAAGGAGGGGGTTTTTGACCAGCTCACCAGCCTTACCAAGCTCAACCTGGCCAGGAACAACATCGACCACGTGCCGCGCCGGGCCTTCGAGCGGCTGGCGCGGCTGCAGGTGCTGCGGCTCTATGAGAACCGGCTCCGGCAGATCCCAGTGGGCACCTTTGATGGGCTGCCCGAGCTGCAGGAGCTGGGACTGCACCAGAACCAGCTGGAGACGCTGTCCCCGGAGCTATTTGTGCACAATGGAAACCTGCAGAAGCTCTACCTGTCCAATAACCTCCTCACCACCCTACCGAGCGGTATCTTCTTGCCCTTGCGTGCCCTTGCTAAGATCACCCTGCACGTCAACCGCCTGCGGGACATCTCCCCCGGTGCCTTCGGGCCTATGCCTGATCTGCGGGAGCTGTGGCTCTATGATAATGAGCTTTTTACCCTCCCCACTGCTGTCTTTGGCAACCTCACCCAGCTGCAGCTCCTGGTACTCAGCAAGAACCGGCTGCGCTCCGTGGCACGGGGTGCTTTCCAGGGTTTGGGAGAGCTGCTGGAGCTGTCCCTGCACTCCAATGCCCTGCGCCGCCTGGATGCCCAGGCACTGGAGGGGATGCCCAAGCTGCAGAACATCTCCCTGCACCACAACCAGCTGCAGATGCTGCCGCGGGGGCTCTTCAGCACCACCCCAGGGCTGCAGCACCTGCAGCTGCACTCTAATGCCCTGGAGTACCTGCCTGCCGGCATCTTCTCCCCTCTGGCTGCCCTGCGAGAGGTGAAGCTGCACAACAACTCCTGGCGCTGTGACAAGGGCATCCTGCCCCTGCGGGGCTGGCTGGAGGACAACCCCCACAAGGTGGGCGAGACACCCCCCCTCTGTGCCCAGCCCCCTTCCCTGCGGGGCACCCCCATCGCTGGGCTGCCGCAGGACCAGTTCCTCGTCCCCGTGCCCTCCACTGCCTCCCCTCATCCCAGCACCCCTCTCCCTGCTGGCCCCTCTGAGGTGGCATTACCGGAGGGTGCCTGGACGGAGCCCTCCATGGGGGTGCCAGTCTCCCCACAGGAGGATGAGGAGAAGGAGGAGGAAGAGGGGAAGGGGCAGTGGGGGCTGACAAGCACACAGAGTGGGGTGGTGGTGGCGGTTATTGTGCTGGTGTGTGCGGCCCTGCTTGCCGCTCTGGTGGCTCTGGTGGTCTACGGCTGCAGGAAGAAGAGCCACGTTGTGCTTATGAGGATGAAGGCGCCCAACGAAGCATGAGCACCCAACAGACCCTGGGGTAATGGTACTGGTGGGGCATTCTCTCCCCAAGGGGCCAAGGGACATGACAGCGGCTCTGCATTAGCTGCCCTTGCTGATTGGGATGGGCCACAATCTCTGTGCGTGCTGCATGTCCCTTGTCCTGCTCTGCTTTGCCCTGCCCTTGTTCTGCAGTAGGATATCCACCTGGGTGACCGCCCACGGCTGCCCTGTTCCCAGCCCCTCCCGCCTCTGTGCTCATCCCCTGCCCCGGGGGCCAGCAGCTGCGGTACCGAGAGGGGACCCCTCAAGCAGAGAGCCACAGCCTAGCCACGATGGTGCTCAACTCAAACAGCAGGACTCCCTTGTCCCTCACGTTGCTTTGTCCCCTCTGGTGCTGCCTGTCCTTTCCCCGCCTGCTGCCCGCTGCTCCCACCATGCCCCAGCCTCTGCCCCCGCCCTGGCAGGAGCCGCACACCCGGTGCTGCCCTGCCCTCGCCGACGGGCTGGGCGCTGCTGCCGGGCTGGCACACCCGCACCGCTCCACGCTGCCGCCCTGCCCGCAGGCAGCCAGCACCTTCCCTGGCCCGCACAGCCTCCTGCCTCCTCCTTGCTGCCTCTCCTGTGCCCCGCGGTGTCCGGGGATACCGGCCCCTGCTGCGTGCGGGGGACTTAAAGGGGGGGAGGATGGGGGTGAAGTATCTGCAGGGGCTGCATCCTTATGCCCGAAGGCAGCGGGAGCGTGCCGGGGCTGCTCCCGATGCACCCCATCCCTAGTCCTTGCTGCCTCAATACCCTGTGCATCCTCCACCAGCTAGTGAACAGCCTGGCCCTGCTCTGCCTTCCAATGCTCCTTCCTCTTCCTCCCGCGAGTATCTCTCTGTATGTGCCCAGCCCTGCTGCCTGCCCCATCCCTGCTGCCTGCACATCCCTCGGGCAGTGGGGATGCTGGCAGTGCACAGCGGGGGGGTCAGCAAGCTCTGCTGCTCTGCAGTTCACAGGTGGGTGCCTCACCGTGCCCCTGCAGCATCTGCACCCAGCTCTCACCCTGCCTGCTCCAGATGTAGCATGGCCACAGAGGGCTCCAGCTCACCTCTGCACATGGTTTGGTGGTGTTGGTCTGCCTGGGCATTGCTGCCATGGGATGAGTGCCCCAGGAGCCAGCGCAAGCACAGGAAGCACCACACTTGTGTACATGTGGGATGTTCCTCTGGGCTGGGACCTGCATGGCAATGGGAGACACGGGACTGCCGCGGGGCTGTCGGGTGCTTCTCTGTGACCTCTCCATTAAAGTGCAGTTGTCCACCCCCAGTGCCAAGAACTGTTTATTTGCTCCTCCACTGTGCACAGCTGGAGAATGACCCAATGACCCAGCAGGAACAGGAGGTATGCCTGATCTTCTCTCCTAAGAAATGTTTCTTTCATATTGAGGAAAAGTCCATACAGCCTGGTGGGGCTAGGAAAGGGTTAGTGGGCTGTGGTTTCACAGCTTGTGCTGGTCCCTGGACTCCAACCTGTGGTGCAGGACCAAGGAGGGCTCAGCCATCCAACAGCAGGGGAATAGCCTTTGAAGAGTGAGCTGAGATCTCAGCAAGCTTCTTGATGGAGACACTGACTGCCTACTGCACACTTTACCCAGTGCCAGCCCAGGGTGGTGGGGAGCTCGCATGGCTCCCTTCAGAGGTGGCTACTGCAGGCTTGCATCAGCTGAGTTCCTCTGTGCTCACTGTGTGCTCCATCAGCCTGGATGAAGTGTCCCTCCTCCTTGCCTCTCAGAGTGCCCCCGTGGCATGAGACACAGCCTGTTCCAACACAGGCCCCTGCAAAGCAGCCCTCACGGTGGTGTATGCTGCTCTCCTAAGCGGATTGCAAGCTCCCAGGGAATCCAGATGGTCCACAGGCCCCTGTGGCCATCCCATGGCCAGCTGGGTGCACTTCATGGGATGCAAAACACATGATGCATCTCAAAGTCCAGGGTGGTCCACTCCCCATGGCATTGCCTTGCCTTGCTAAGCTGTGCCTGGTCCCATCTCTCATGCAAGAGATGTGTACTAGCACTATTTCCCAGTGAGATTTCATGAAGTCTAAGGGAAATCTCAGGGGGAATCAAGCGTGCTGACCTTGGTGTGGGACTAGTGCCAACTGAGACAGCAGCACCCTGCCACCGTCCCCAGGCCAGCGGATGTCCGGGGCCGAGGCCTCGCTTCCCTGCCAGGATGCTCACCGGCAGCTGACTCTGGCCTCGCCTCCCATCCCTCTGTGACTGGGTTATTTTTCGAAGCGCCCCAAGGGCGCCGGTTGTTGCTGCCGATAAGCAGCGAGGGGCAGCTCCGCCCCAGCAGGAACAGCTCCCTGCAGGTTTCCCATCTGCCCCAGAAAACACTGTTTCATCTTGGTGAGCAGCCTCCCTGCAAACCTGCTGCGAGCTCTGTGGTAGGCACCAGGATGCTATACTCGGTAAGCGGTGGCCATGCCACTCGGGCAGCGTGGGCGGCCTCGGGTAGGTGGGAATCACTGTTGGCTCTGGTGGAAACAAGTGGGATGGTGGAAAGTAGAAAGGCAAAGCCAAGCCCAACACTGCTGTCGAGCACTAACCAAGTCCAGGATAGCCCCACTCGTGAGTGGTGTCTGCAGATGGGCATTGCTGGTGGTGGGTAGCATCCCCTCACGCACGGACCTTTGGTGAGGGTGGCACCACCCTTGTTGTGACAGGGTGGGCTAGGGTGGGAGTGGGATTCAGAGTAGGAGCCCTGACGCACCGCACTGGGAGATTTGTGAGGGGAGCACTGAGCGGCGCAGGCAGCTGGGGCTGGAGGGCTGCCCCCATGGCCAGGCAGCTGCCCACGCCGGCAGTGCCCCAGAGATTGCTCCTGCTGCATTTTTGGCCGTGGAAGCCACTTCCTCATCAGTGCCTGCCTGCTGGTACAGATTTCTGCCTCACTCAGGCAGAGGATGAGGCTCGGCTCCTTCTCCAGTGCAGGCTGGTGTTCTACATGCTGCTGGGTCTGGGGTTCCTGCTGATGAAGGGGCTGCCCCTCCGCTGCCCCTCAAGCTGCCAGTGCTATGACACCTCCAAAGTCTTCTGCTCAGAGGAGAGGATGCGGGAGATCCCAGCGGGCCTGCCAGGGAACGCCACCCAGCTCTTCTTTGTGGAGACGGCCCTGAGAAGTGTCCGCAGTGGGGCTCTGGGCTCCAGCACCACCCTTACCAAGTTGGTCTTCCTCAACAACCACATCCAGGACCTGGAGGACGGTGCCTTTCAGGGGCTGCCCGGTCTCACCGAGCTGGAGGTGTCAGGCAACCCCTTGCCGGCAGTCAGCCCCAGGGTGCTGGCGGCTCTGCCCAGCCTCAGCAAGCTGTCCCTGGGTGCCAATGCCCTCCGCTCCCTGCAGCCAGGGCTCTTCGCCGCTGCCTGCTGCCTGCAGGACCTGCGCTTGCCGGGGAACAGGATCGAGGCACTGCCCCCCGGCATCTTCCGCCCGCTCCGGCACCTCCAGACCCTGGACCTCTCGCAGAACGTCCTGACCGAGCTGCCGGCAGGGCTGCTGGCGCCCCTCGCCGCCCTCCGCCTCCTCAAGCTCAGTGACAATCTGCTGGCGCGGCTGCCCCACGGCGCTTTTGGGGCGCTGGGCCGGCTGGCCGAGCTCCACCTGGATGGGAACCGGCTGGAGGAGCTGCCGGCCAGAGCCTTTGCGGGGCTGGGGGCGCTGCGGCGGCTGCAGCTACAGCACAACGCTCTGGGCAGCCTGCCCCCTGACATCTTCGCTGGTCTCCATAACCTCACCGTCCTCAGCTTGGAGGGCAACCGCCTGGCCACCCTGCCTGCCACCCTCTTCACCGGCACCCCTCGCCTCCTCCACCTTTCCCTGGCTCGCAATGAGCTGGAGATGCTGCCCCAGGGACTCTTTGCCAACCTGTCTGTGCTGCAGACCCTGGTGTTGTCATATAACTCCATGGACCACCTTCCCGCCGGGGTTTTCCAGGGTCTGGTGGAGCTGGCAACGCTGCATCTGAGCCACAACAACCTCTCCAGCCTGCCGGCTGGGCTGCTGATCGGGCTGCCCCTCCTCACTGCCCTGGTGCTGGACCACAACCGCCTGGCCCGCCTGCCTCCGGGGCTCTTTGATGCCAATAAGGACCTGGTGCGAGTGGGGCTGGGCAGCAATCCTTGGGCCTGTGACTGCCACCTTGCCTATCTCCTAAGCTGGCTCCAGGGCTTTGCCGAGCCCCTCACCCATGCTCAAGCCTCCTGTGCCAGCCCAGCTGCTCTCCAGGGACGGTCCCTGCTGGAGGTCCCCCACAGGCAGCTGCAGTGCCCGGGAGCACCGGGTGTCCCCCCGGAGGAGGGCTGGGACGGGGAGCATGGTCCGGGGCAGTGCACCTACAGGAACCCCGAGGGCACCGTAAGCATGGCCTGTGATGCCACGAGCTGCCAGCAGCTCACCCTTCGCCTCCCTCCTCCTTCTCCTCCTCCCAGGCAGGCAGCGGGGCTGGGGCCGGTGTACCAGGGTGCCTGGGTGCTGCAGTCCCGCTGTGGCACACTGCAGGTCAATGTGCTGGTCACCACACAGAGCGGGGATGAGGCCACATCTCCAGGTCTTCCCACTGTGCCCTAGAGCTCGGGCAGGCACCTTATTCTGCTCCACTCTCGCACTGGCAACCTCTGAACCAGCCCAGGAAACAGCACCCTGTCTTGATCTGCTACCCCTACCATGGTCACCAGCTGTCACTGAGCTCTCCACAAAAGCCGGGCTGGTAGTATTCATTCTTCCAGCTGTGTGCTTCCTGTACATTTCAAATATAATTAAAATATATATGTTATTTCTGTGTAACCAGTTACTATGGCAGTTACTACTGTTCTTCTGCCTCTGTCTACATACCTGAGCAAAATGGTGAAGGTTGCCGTGGTGCAATGGGGACTTGCCTGGGGCTGTGCATGTTGTGGCAGGGGTGCAGGTGCCACTTTCTGGCATGCTCATCCCTGCCTACTGCAGCTCCCCAGGCCCAACTCCTGCCCCCCTTTCCCTCAGCAGCGCAGAGACCCAGCTGCAGCCTGGCACTAACCCCCTGGCATGCATGGGTTTGGGGTGTCCAAGGGAGACGTGGCAAGTGCTGCCCAGCGAGGGGCACAGGCTGCCTGGCTGCAGGGGGGCTCCAGCATAGGGCTGTGCACTGGCAGGTCCCGCATCCGCCCCTGGCAGGGCTGCACCGGGGAGGCTCGGGGACCATGGAGATGGGGCAGAGTCCCCGCGGCGCTGCCCAAGCAGGGGTGGAAGGTAAGGGGGGTGCTCCCCTAAGAGAGCAGAAGCGTGTTGTGCGTACATTGACTTGTGCGTGTGTGCGAGGCGCGCTCCCGAGGCTGCTGCACCATCTTGCGGCCGCTGGGACACGGTTCGCTCCGGGACCAGTCCCGCCACGCACCCTCCTTAGAGCCATCACTGCCGGCCCTGCCCCGGCAGGGCAGCCGGGGTCCTTGCTTGGAGCTGTGCGTCCCTGACAGCCCTTTCCCCGGAGAGTTCGTGTCGTGTCAGCCCGACCTGCTCCGGCAGCGGGCTGCGATCTCGGCCGTGCTCTGGAGTTGTGGCCCCTTGCTCCTGGTAGGAAGGTGAGCAATGCTGCCCCCCGAGACACGGTCCTGCACGGCCACCCTGCTGCCTGTCCGCACAGGGGACTGCCACTGCTCCGCTGCCATCTCCCAGCCGATACTGCATGGCCACCTCAGGCTGGACCAGAGATGTGGCTGGCTGCAGCTTCCCAGATTCTGGCACAGCTGCCACGCTGAGGCATGGGAAAGCTGATGTCACTCCCACTATGAGCTTTCTCATTCACCCTTGGCTCCCACCACCCTGCAGCCTCTGGAGTAACCTGCCATCAAGCGAGTGGGGACCTGGACACACATGGCTTTGATGCTGGAAAGGGGTAAGGCTGCTGAAAATGTGCAGGAGTTTGTGTGGTTTTGAATCTGCCAGGAAAGGTATAATGAAACCCAGCAAGCACCAGCTGAGCCTTAATAAGAGCAGGTGGAAACCGATGAGGAAATGTTTGAATGCAATTAATGCTATTTTCCATTGAGAAGCAACGTAATTTTAAGTCTTTGCAACAAACAGGGCTTCTTTCCACAAGATGCGCTGCACCAGCCAGGAGCCTTGGGTGTCTTTGGCTTGTGCTAGGGTGGAGGAGAGCACAACACAGCTCCAGACCTGAGGCCAGCGAGGTGTGAAGGTATAGCACTGAGCCAAGAATCTGGGTGTCCTGCCACACAAGTCATCCCTGCTCCAAGCTTAAACAAATGGCTTCAGAGCAGCACCTTTAGCTATGTAAGCTAATTCCTGAGAGAGAAAACAACAGAATATTTTTAATAAGAAGAGCTTCAAATAGGAAATCTCTGTTGTGTTAGTGGGGGTGGTGCTGGTGGGATATACTGGGCTGCAGAGGCCATCGGCTACAAAACAGACTGGCCTGGAGATCTTCAGGTTTCCCTGGACGTGACGAGTCAAGTGGCGTCAGCAGATAACACCTAGTGAGTACGTGCCTGCATCCTGTCTGAGGGGTTTCAGCAACAACCTCCCGCACAGGGGGCACAGCTCCATTGCCTGCTCCACGGCCATCCCTTATCTCCCCACCCAGACCTGAGCTCTGACCTCACATGAAACCAAGCCCTGCGCCTGGGCTGTGGATAAAGAGCTGGCCAGGTGATGGACGCCTGTCTGCTGGCCTCACTCCTCGCTCCGGCAGCTGGACTCATTTGCAAGTGCTCAGCCAAGTAAGTGATGCAAACCACTGTGTTTTGCTGTTTAAATTGTGCTGGAAGGGGCTGCTCAGGGGGGGCTGTTGATGGCTTCCTTGCAGCATGGAGAAGGAGAGGCTTGAGCACTGTGAGCTGGGGCTGTCCCTCGGTGTCCCTGTGCTGCTGGAGGGTGGCACAAGTACAGGACCACACTGAGGTCCACTGCACCCAGACAGGGTGAGGGAGGGCTTTAAGAGCTTTGCAGTTCCAAATTGCTTATTTTCATGCCCATGCCCTCAGCCCAGCCACCCCCACCTGCACATTTAGCCTATGGCACTGCTCCTGCAGCTGAAGTGAAGCAGGCACTTAAGCACCCACAGACCCAGCTCCTGCACCCGAGTCTCTGTGGGAGGAGGATGGGCAGGGATCAGCAGCATCTTCTACCCTGAGGAACCCCATGGGGCAGCTGGCACATACATCACCTCCCATTGGTTCCTCTCTGAACCCAGTGGCTTTTGGCCTCCTGTATTTACTGACCTTTCAGCATTTTTAGGAAAAAGAAAGTAACTTTTCATAGCAAATCTACCCTCCCAGCACAAGCTTTTTGCATGGTCAGCTTTGATGGACACCCAAGAAGCAACCCACAGCCCTTCCCTTGCTCCCACCCAGGGCTGTGAAGCTGGAAGCTACAGTCCCAGTATGATGTTCATGGCAGTTAAACTTCAGCTAATGTGTTAGCTGAGTGTTTCCAAATGACTGGATGGAAGTGATGGGCTTTACATGACTGGTGGGTGTGCATCTGTGACTTCACTTCCTAACTGCAGGTCAGAGCCCTAAATCTTAGGTATTAAAGACTTCATTTGTGGACTCTCATTAATGTTTTAATGAGCCTTGCTCTAAAACTTGGCTGCTGCTCACAAGTTAACCATTTTTATCTGACAGAGCTGCATAACCAAGGCCAAAATACACTGCAATTAGCAAGAATCCTGAAAAGGAGATGCTTAGAAGCTGTGTTTTAAATGACCCCTGGACTGAGAAAAGCATCAATGAACTAGCAAGTGCATCCAGCACAGTGTGGGAATTCCAAGTAAACAAGGTCATCTGGTGTTGACTGGCTCCTGGGACCCTTGCTGATCCCTCATTAACAAGCACAGGGCTGTCTGATCCTGTTGTTACATGAACGGGCTGTTGCCCTGCTGAGTAACCAGACCCACTGGGGCAGTGCTAATGGGCAGCAGCACTGTGCCGCCTTCACCCAAACAGATGTTGAGCTACAGCCCAGACGTGGGAGAAGGAAGGACAGGGAACAGACAGTCCAGCCCTTGTTCCTCCTGGAGCGTCTCCCAGCGCCTAGCCACAAGCTGGCTCGCTCTCGCTTCCTCTCTGTCCCTGGATACCAACAGCAGCAAACCTTTGTAAAGGCAGTGTATATTGGCTTGTATGGTGTCTCCTTTTCTCACGAGTTATGATGTGTGAAGAGAAGAGCCCCAGGAGCTGAGCAGCTGTGTAGTACCACAGTTCATGAGATGTGGAAAGAGATTTTTATTTTTCTTCTTCGTAACTGGTTTTTACAACCTCTTTTTCAGGATGATGTACCAGCATTTCCTTTTCCTTTTCTTCCTTTCCTTCCATCTCCATAAATGCCAAGATCAAACCCTAGGTGAAGATCCATATGAAATGCCCAAAGACTACCAGGAGATCTACAGAGGGACAAAAAATGATGTCAAAGAGATCCCAAAGATCGCAAAGCCTTTCGTTTCTGAGATGATCTTTGTGCAAACCAGCATCACTGCTATAAGGAAAGGCTCCTTCAGGTACATGCCCAACCTGGTCAAGATTTTGTTTATTGGCAACAAGATCAAGACAATTGAACCTGGAGCCTTTGATAATTTGGACAACCTGAGGGACTTGGACATCTCTGGTGCCTTGTTAGAAGAACTAGCTGTGGGAACTTTCCAGAACCTCCCAAGCTTGCAGAGGCTGGAGCTGAGAGACAGCCACCTCAGATACATCCCCAAAGGACTGTTCGATGGGCTGGGAAGTTTGGGGGAGCTCTCCCTGCACATCAATGCCATCCCTTCTCTTCCAGAAGGCATTTTTGATTCTCTTGTCAACCTAACGTTTTTGGACCTGGCCAGAAACAGGATCACGACTCTTCATGGGGATGCCTTCAGCAAACTTGTGCAGCTGCAAGTCCTCCGTCTCTATGAGAATGAGTTGCAGGACCTCCCGGAGGGGCTGCTGGACAGACAGACAGGGCTGCTGGAGCTCAACCTGCAGAGCAACAGGCTCAGGGTGCTGCCACCCATGCTTCTGAGGAGTCTGCCTCACCTGGAGAAACTCCTCTTGGACAACAACCTCATCCGGGTTCTCCCACCTCAGGGCTTCTTTGGCTTAAACAAATTGAAACTGCTGACCCTGGGTTCAAACTGCATTACAGAACTCCCCTGCTGCCTTTTCGATGCCATGGCAGACCTGCGGGAGCTGGACCTGGGCAGGAACAGTTTGGCCACGCTTCCAGACAGCATCTTCATCAACCTCACATCTCTTGGCAAACTCGTCTTGTCCCACAACCAGCTAGCAGCCCTGCCAGGAGGAGCTTTCGCTGGGCTCAGCAAGCTCTCAGACCTCCAGCTGGACACAAATCATCTCTCTGCTCTGGATGATGAGGTCTTTGCTTCTCTCCCAAATCTGAAAACCCTCAACCTTCGGAAGAACCAGCTGGAGAGTGTTCCTCCAGGGCTTCTGGACCCCTTGAAGAAGCTCAGCTCAGTGTACCTAAGTGGGAACCCATGGAGATGTGATTGCAACCTCTGCTACCTGCACAGCTGGATCCTAAACAACAGTGAGAAGGTCAAATTGTCCACCCAAGTGTCATGCAAGAGTCCACCCCACCTGGCAGGGCAAGCAGTGACATCGCTGAGGGATGACCACTTAATTTGCCCAGCTACTCAGCCTATTTCGTCTTCTTTTACCCCATCTTTGCCATCCACCTCCACATCATCGCAAGAGATGTCACCCTTGCTGCCCACTGCAGCACCAGCCATGCTTTCCTTGGCAGTCTCTCCTGTCATGACAGTGCCAACCACGCTGTCACCTGTCGCCACCTCTGCCATGTTGCCATCCATGCTAACGGATGGAAGGCAACACTTCACCAGTTCATCTCCAGCTACGCCATCCAAGGCCTTCATCACCACATCCTCACCAGCTGTGCTGCCCAAGGCCTCCTTCACCACACTATCAACTGTGCTGCCTGAGACCTCCATCAGCACACCATCACCAGCTGTGCTGCCAAAGGTCTCCATTGCCACCCTGCCATCGACCATGCTGCACAAGACTTCTATCACCATGCCATCACCAGCTGTGCCAGATGAGGCCGTCAGCCTGTGTCCAACTCCAGCCATCATAAGCCTACAGCCTCCTGGGACCACCAGCTCAGAGCCTGCATTGTCCACTCTAGCTTATGTGACCACACCAGCACCAACCAGCCCACTGGCAGCCACCACCAGGCACGTGCCTCCTGTTCTGGTGTCCACAGAGAGGCCAGCCACCATCCCATGGATGACACCCAACATCTCCCTCATCTCGATGCTCCCTATGGCATTCTCGCCATCACCCAGGGCTGCTGCACAAGGCACGGTCCCGGCAGCGTCATTCACTCTGACCCATCATGTTCCTGTACCAGACAGGGATCAGGGCCATGCCACTGTGAAGGGCTTGTCCACTGCTGGCACCCAGCCCGCTCCCACTGCCCCTCAGAACGCTCTCACGACTGCAGACACCATCCCGAGCCCAGTGCCTTCCGTCCCCCCGGTACCAGACCACACGAGCCCCTGGCCACCCTCCTGGGTCCCCAGCAGCCATCATGCCTGGGCCTTGTCCGTGCTGTCCAGCCCACAGCAGTGCCGGGTGTCCCTGGCGCTGAGCCTGGCGGCACTGGTGCTGCAGGCAGGCTGCACACTGCTCTGGGGGATCCTCGCCTTTCTCCTCCAACAGGCCACCAGTCGCCGGGGCCGCTCAGTGCCACCGGTGAGGCTGCTGAGACTGCAAGCCCTGGCCACCCCAGGATCCCCCGAGCAAGCCTGGGCACCGCTTTGAGCTTCGCTGCCCTGCATGACCTGGGCAATGCCCGTCGTCCTCCTTTGCCGTCTGGAGCCACTGGGTGCGTATGTCGTAGGATGCGGACTGTCACCAGGGTGAGTGTCCCAGCACCCAGGCTGTTTTGGGATGCGTCCCTGGAGATGCTGTGCGCCGTCTGCCTCACGGGTCCTTCTGCCAAGCGACACTAGATGGCATCACGACACAGGCAGTATCTGCCACAGCCTGCCTAGGCCCACCGGGAACAGAGCGGGCAGGGTGACCTGTGGCCCTGGAGGTACCGCACCAAAATGCTGGAGAGCCCGGACCCGGCCAGCTGGAGACGTCACTAGACCTCCTCGCAGAAGCCTTGGGGCTCCTGCCTGCATCTCCTCCCCATCCCTGGCAGGTACCTGCAGGGTGCAAGTGGTCCTTGGGGAAGGATATCCCAAGGTTTCCTGCCCTACACCTTGGTTTCTTCCCCACATCACGGATGTGGCAGTGCCTGTATATCCATCACAACCCTCTGACCTCTTCCTCTGTCTTCTCTCTTTCCTCCTCACTGATATTAAAAGCCTCCCCTGCACCTCTGCTGTGCACTGAAGAGCTACCAAGAAGAGTATTTTCATCTTAGGGCTTTTCTTGCCATGACCTACCATGGAACATTCCTGTTGCTTGATGGAGTGTGGGGTCCCCAGTCAGTGCTGGCTGTCAGGGACTTGTGTAGGACCAGGTTTGCACACCCTGCTGCAGACAGTGGCATAATGATACAGTAGACTTGCTGTTCTTTCCCCTCTCAAATCTTATACCCCTGAGATCTGTTTGTAATGCTGCCTGCCCTGGCCTCTCTGGGAGAGTAATGTTTGTACGTGGCTGGCTACATGGTTCTTGTACCATAACTTCACCTGATGCTGAGCCCCAACTGCAGGCGTGGCACCAACTGGCACAGGAAGCTTGGGATGAACGGGCTAATGCCCTTCATAACCGAAGGGCTAATGTGTGCCTTTACCTCCACAGTCCTGGGCTGCCGCCAGGGCCAGGAAGGTGCCAAACTTCTACAACAGTGTCTGTTTCTTTGGGTTTTCTGCCACCACAGAAAGTGCTGAAACTGTCACAGGAAAGTTTTAGAGCAGGAGATCTTTTGAGCCGATGAACACAGGGGTTGTTCCTTAGTTTGGGTCTCTGCATACGTTATTTTGCTCTAGGCTCACTGTTGACTTTTCACCATGCCAGGCAAGCTGCTCCCAAATTTAATCAGCCCGCTCACTACAGGGGTGCAGGTGTCTATGTATCTCCAACTCTTCGCCTTTGGTGCTGGCGCCTGCTCCTTCCTGCCCTGCCTTTGGTGTGGGACACAGGGGCTGCCTGGCTTTAGGGGGTCTGAGGGAGCAGAACCTCTGAAAATCAATAGCCTGGACATGTGCTAGGCAAAGAGGAAGTGGCTCAGAAACCTCCTGGTGTGTAAGTTCCAAGTGCCCCAGCTCTCTGCCTGGTGCAAGACCAAGGGCGGGGGAAAGGTGCTTTTCGTTAGGGTATGTGCCTGCAGCTACGCGTTAAGGAGCTGGATATATGTCTTTGCTAAGAGCCTGTGCAGTGTTACAGGCCCTTCGGCTGCTCCTTGAAGTCCTGCTGACGGCTGTGAAATACGGGAGGCGAGCGCGGGGCAGCACATCTGGGCGGGATGGAGCGGGGCCGGGCTGGCACGGCGGGTAATGAGAGGCAGATGGGGGGAGGCAGTGTTTTCCTGGTAGTCCAGATGGGCTCGGCTTTATACTTGATTTAGAAGGTTTGAAAGTGGGGCCTGGCTGCTGGGGAACAGATCCCGAGCACTTCCCGGGGCAATGAGGGGGGGTCTCTGCTGGCTTTTCAGATATTTAATGGCCCAGCGCAGTCTAAACAGGGAAGTACTTCGGGGTGAGATTAGCACAACATAATCACATCTTAAAAGGTCTTCAGAGACACAAAGCACATCCGCTCTCATATTAATTACTTGTTATTAATAAAGCTGGGGTCAGGCTAGAGGTGTTCCCTCCTGAGCGTGCTGGTTCCCCCTTTGCAGAGCGCTGCTCTGTCTGAAAGCAGCACAAAGCCCCTCCAGCCTTCACCTGTGCCCACCCAGCTCCAGAAGCCAAATGGCCAAAATTCCTACAGCCACTTTTAAAACTAACTTGCCCCATAATACCCCCATAGCGCCGTGCCTTTCTAAGTGTCCAGAACACTGCCGAGTGCTGTAAAACAGTAATAGCCAGAGTGTTCTCAGCACGGGAATTTCCTGCTATGATTGATTCCTAATTTGCAATGAAAATATAGCCGCCCATGTTCCCAGGGCCAGGCTGGGCTCGCAGGCAGGAGTCGTCTCCCTCCATTGCTGTGGGGCTGATCCCTGGAGGGCCACAGCTGTGCTGGGAGGAATTAGCAGCTCTTCCCATTAGCTCGCCGTGGGAGGGAAAGGCTGAGAAGCATGCGGGATGCCGGGTGTCCTGGGAGTGATGTCCCTGGGCAGCCTCAGGGAAAACATGCTTGGATTTCCTCATCGCTGAGCAAGAGCAGCCAGAAAGCACGCAGGGATGGGGCAGAGCATGGGGGATCTGCACCGGGGAGACCAGGGCACAGGTTTGCTGCTTCGGAGCTGCAGCTTCTGCAATGCCAAGGGGAGGAGCCTTCCTCACAGAGGAGCGGGACATGGCCAGGAGAAGTGGCCAGGAGTGCACAGCCCAGCACACCCTCCCTGCTATGCTGCAGGCAGCCTGGGCATCCCTGCAGGACGGCCACTGCACTCAGCAGCACTCGATGGCTTTAAATCTGGATTTATCTGGTTTCTCTGAACTCAGGTAAGATTTCAACATCCGCAGCACCCTGTGGCAAGGAGTACCCGGGATTGCCCATGCACTAAATAAGGCAGCACATCACTTTGCTCTCCCTCTGCTTGCTGCTCCTTGAACAGGATGCTACTGGTTGTTGCACTGGAAAACAAAAGATGAGCATCCTGTGGGGTGTCTCCAGGCTGCTTGAGATGCTAAACCTCTTTCCAGTTGCAGTGACTGCCTGTGGTCCTCATAGTTAGCTTCAGGTGACAGCCAGTTAGAAGCAGGGACAAGACATCATGTGTGTGTTGTCCTTGTGTGGTGCTGGGACTGGGGGTCTCCAGCATGGCATGGCTGCCACTGGCTCTCTTCCTGCTCTGTGCAGAGGAGATGTGGTTCCCACAGCCCTGTCACTCGTGCTGCAGTACTGATTGGTAACCCCACAGGCCGTCAGCCCTACTGGGAGCCCCTGTCCCTGCCACCTGCCTCCGGTTCCCCTTCCTGCCTCTGGGAGCCCCATGGGCAGGAAGGGGGCTCATGAGCTACACCACTTTCTTGTGGCTGATGGGAAGGGGGGAATGAACACCTGCATGTGGGGATCTGCACAGTAACCCATGCAGTGAGCAAACCTGGGCCTCTGATGGGCAGGTCCCACTGCCGGCTTGCTGCTGGGAACCTGCCCAGCCCACAGCCATGCTGCCACAGCTTCCGCCAGGCACCCAGGTGCCACGCACCAAACACGTGCCGTGCCAGGAGCGGCATCTCCCCAGCTGCTGGTGTGGTTTAAGCCCCCATGCCTCCTGTGACTGCGTGCCCCAGCGGGGTTTGGGGCTGGGGGCTGGCTGCTCTGTGTGCTGTGGGCAGGGTCAGGTAGGACTGATTTGGCACCAGCTCCCATAGGAGCAGTACTGCCTGGAGAGGTGGGATGTGCCACACAGGACCTGCAGGGTGAGGACCCAAGCTGGGGCAGTCCCTGGCAGAAGCAGCTGTATCTGCTGGGATCAGTATCAGCCTAAGGACCAGCTGAGTAGCTATGGTATGTCCAGCATCCATCCATTCATCCATCTCCTGTTGTGCTCAACAGAGATGACCATGGGCTGGCAGTCATTGCTTAGTGTTGCTGCTGTGCCCTCTCAGTGCTGGTGATGGTTTTGAACACTGGCACTACTCCTCTGTGTGTCCTCTGGGTGGTCTCTCTCCCTCTCCATCCTTCACCCACATCATCCCTCCTGTGCCCACTCACGGTATCCACACAGATGTGTGAGGCTGCCCCTTGCTGTGAAACTCTTCGAGCCTCATAGGGAAGGAGCTGAACTAAGACATTCGTTCATCTGCTTTGGCCTTGGCATCTCCCAACCCTCCTGCAAAAGGGCTGCAGCCATGTCCCACCGGGGCAGGGGGCTGACCTCCTCCAGGGCAGCTGGGGCAGCAAGAGGGCAGTGGGCAGAGGGGATAGAGCTCAAAGGGGTGCAGGGCTGGCACTCCCAGCATTCTCAGCCTTGGCCTGCCTGCCTCATGGCTGGTGCTGCCCATGCTTTTATCCAGGATATGGGCAGGGCACGAGAGCAAGGGCAAGAAAAAACAACTGGTGCATCCTTCCTTGGGCACGGGGAGAGCCCAGAGGGGCGGAAGTTGCCTGTTTGTTTAAGGTGCAAACAAGTGCTATTAATCTGCTGCCTGTTTGTATTTCTTTAGAGCCCATGAGAGCCGGGGGTGGGAGGTGGGAACAGAGGGGGTTTCCCCTTTGTGTGAGGGCAGGGTCAGGCTATTGGAAGTGGAGGTGAGAAAACACAGAGGGGCAGCTGGGACCTGCTTTGGGAGGGAAAGATTTTTTTCGGCTATTTATGATAATTAGTGGGAAACGTTCCTCAAGCGTTTCAGATGATTCTGTAATGAAGTTGGGCCTAATGTTCCAGCTTTGTTCCCCTGGAACCATTAAAAATCCCCCTTCTTTGGCTGCCTTAATGCAGTGCTGAAAAGGCACAATGGCATAAAAGTGGCTCTGGGCAGGGCGGCACGCCTCCTGCCCCGCCAGATAGAGCCCTTCAGAGCCTGCATTTTCTGGGTTATAAACCTCAGCGCTCACGGTGTCTATGTGAAGGCTGCTGCGGATTCCGCGCCTGGAGCTCCTTTACATCCCCGATGCTGATGTGAGTGCCAGCCAGACTGCACCACTCAGCATGCGGCACGCTCAGGGGGCCACAGTGGCCAACACAAACAGGCCTGAGTAAGAAAGGACAGGCACAGCAAGTCTCTTCTATGGAAAAGCAGCTTTTGGCCTGTGGTTGTGTTGGGAATTTGCTGGAAGAGGACCCATCCCTGTGCATGGGGAAATGGGGAGTACAGCCCCAAGGAAAGTGCTGTTCTGGGCCAGATCCTGCCCTGCCCCAGGCAAGGTGTGTGAAATCCAGCTATGATCCACTACCAGACTGCAAGAGCTAGCTCATTCTCATGCTTTTAGGAGTGAAAGGCTTCTCCAGCATAAGTGATGAAAAGAAAATCCACATGCCTGATTTCACACATCTATCAGTGCTATTTCCCCAAGGATGATGTGTAAAGCTAATGTGAGCTCTCCTCCTAAAGCTGTGATAAAAAGGGAAACTGGCAGGAGCTTTTAGCATTCTGATGGGGACTGAACGTGATGGCTTTCAGTGTCCCCATCAATATTCCCATCTAGACTCCAGCCAGAGAGCTCAGTGTCCCAGGCTGGGACACAGGGCTGCAGCTGACAGGGGTGACTGCTCCACTCCTGGTCCACCTTCAGCTGAACAGTGGCATCTGCAAGGAAGCTGTGCCTGCTGGCCAGGTTCCTTCCTTCCTTCCCCCCCACAGCCAGTGCTATTTAGATGGCAAGTGATAATGGGGGTCATGATCACATCACCCTTAATGCCCACCCACTGCCCCATGGCTCCAGCCAATGTGCCTCACTAAGGCATTAAATCATGAGGCTGGGGAGGAGAGGTTAAGGGCTGGGAGCACAGCTATCTGGGAGCTCTCCTGTTTCTCCACCTCGCTGCCCCAGTCATAATCAAATGACCACCTCAGCTGCTTTCAATGGGGAAAAATTTGCAGACAAATTCCTGCCAGCGGGATGCTGGAACTCTCCTGGTTGACGGGATAAAGATACCTGTGGGCTCACACTGTGGCTGGGGAGCCCCATGATGGCTGTTGGGCTGGTGACTTTGGGCAGCGTGGGAGCAGGCCAGGAGGGCTCCTGGGAGGAGAAGGAGGGCTTTCCTTTTGCCCAGAGTAACTCATGGCAACACAATGAGCCCCGCTGTGAATAAGCTGGAGCCCATACCTGTTGTGGCAGGTCCTGAAGTACCACTTGAGTCATGATACCTCTGCCAGTGTCCATGTCTGTCCCAGCAGTACTTTTTGGGGAAAAATCTCTAGATCCACAGTAAATTTTCTGTAGGAACTGAGGTAGAGGTATTTGGACAGCTGGATGGAATACTGGACACTAGGATGGACTATTTGGTTGGTGTATGTCTGCGGGCATGAGTGATGGGTCCTGGGCAAAATGCGGTGTGTTTGGTGTCGGAGATGGGAACACCAGTGTAGGGCGCTGCCTGTATTGTGCTTTCATCCTTCATGCCGAGCCAAATAGCTCTCTTTGCAAAGTTTGCTGTGGGAAATCAGCTATCTCAATGTGTAAAGGTGATGGCAGAGAAGCTTTTGAACCACGGCAAGCCTGTGGCTTCCCAAGCAGCATGCAGCAGCAGCTCTGGCCAAGACACAGCGTGTCTGATGGGCTAGGCAGCTCCGCTAACGCCAGCACACCTCCACCCCTTCACTCTGCTTCCACTCTGGGTGCAGCGATTGCTTTCCAACAGCTTATTTCCATAAGCTCTCAGCAGCGGCCGGAGACAAAACCTCAGGTACGGAGCATCAGCATGTTCCTGACCTTTCCCACCGCCGGACAAATGGAGCCGGCAGCACGAGGCAGGCGCACAAAGGCGCTGTGCTGGCCGGAGCGCTGACCCCGCCGTGCCACAGCTACCTGCTGCTCTGCCACAATGGCGCTGCGGCCCCGGCCGGCCTGCCGGGGCGATGAAAAAGAGCCCAAGATAATAATGAGGCTGACTACCACTGCTCTCTTCAGAGAACCGAGTCAACTCCTTGGGAAGAAAGGGAAAAAAGGGAAAGAAAAAAAAAGAAGAAGCAAAAAAAAAAAGGAGAAAGAAAAACCCCTCTTGGATAATAAAGAAGTAACAAATGAAGACTGAAAGCCTATAGAAGGCGTCTTAACCCAGTGAAGAAAAAAAATGTCAACATCTGTGGAGCTGTCTGCAAAAACAGACCAAACCCCTAATGAATACCCTCTAGAAAAGGCATTCACTCGAGGAAAGGCAAAAGGCTACATTTTTCTATGGAGGTATAAAGATTTTGATGAATCTGCCCTTTCCCTTTCCAGTGCAGTTGAACCAAGCACTAATGTTCATCTTCAGCTGTATTAAAGGGTGCGGAGGGGGGTTGAGGGGGGAAGAGTCTTGATCTGAAAGCTTATGAGGAGGGTGGATTTAGGGAGCCTGGATAGATGTCTGAGCACTAAAGCAAGGAAGAAAAGCAACCGGCATTAGAGAAAATACTGTTTAACAAGAGTTTCTTTAGTCAGCCCATTTGAGCAGAGATTGGTGTGCCATAAAGGTAATCCTCTTAGGGCTGACTTAAACATGTTTGTACAAAACAGGGAAATATAATATGAATGTAATAGTCACGTTTGCTAAAATGCTTAATAAAAAGACAAAAGTCCTTTATTTTGATCCTCAGCTCCGGTGCGGGCTTGGGGCACAGCAGATGTTTTCTCAGAAGTCTGCTTAGGAAAAAAAGAGAAAGAAATTGAGAATATGGCTGTTCCCGGCCGGCCGAGCAGCCCAGCACAGCAGCATCTCCACCGCCGTTGTTGCCTGTGAAGCCAGCCCTTGACTGGTGAGCCTCTGTGCTCTCCAGCGTGAGAGGTGAGCCACCTTGGGTATGAACCTATAAACACTTGATGAGTTAGTAAACAAGGCGTGCTTCAGGTGGGGAGGCACACACATGGTTGTGTTTACTGTCCCCAGAGGCTTTGCTGTGGGAATAGTGTTAAGGAACAGTCCCTGACTGGAAAGGGTGCAGCTGCTCCTGAGCCAGACAGAGTTTAAGTCCTGGGCTGTCAGATTCAGGCCCAGCCTGACCTGTTGCAGAGGGACCCTGACAGTCACCCTGACAGTCGTCTCAGGTGCTTCCTACCTTGTTCCATGGTCACAGCAGGAAAACCGAGGGGTGCAGTTGCTGTAATCACCATCCTGACACCTATGCTAATCACAGATGAATTTTAAAGGTACAAGTGAAATTTTGCAGGGTTTTTGGTATGTGGTTTGGTTGGTTTGGTTTTTTGTGTTTGTTTGTTTTTTAATTGTCTTTAATATCACAATCGTGGAAATTGCTAACACTGCTAAATGCAGTGTTTGGTTTTGACTTAGCTTTTTAAACTTCCAGTTAGCGTTGATGCTGTACAGCTGTACTGGCTAATGTTAAATGTATTAGATGTTTGTCTTGGGTAGTGTTGAAATACCAGCACTGTGAAATACCAGCAATACCGGCAGAAGATGAGGTGATAATATCAGGTCACTTTTCCAGATCTAACAGTCAGACATTGCTATTCCATACTAGATTTCACA